CTGGGATTACAGGTGTGCGCCACCATGCCCGGCTAATGGCTTACTTTCCTTTATGTCTCACCATCCATATAAGCACCCTAAATTAGGTACCTGGTTTTGCTGGGAAAGGAATCTTGTGTCCGGGGGCCTACTTCCTCTGCTAGTCCAGGGTTTCATGTCATGTGTGGACTTCTGTCACTCTAATACCTCATCACATGGACCTTATTTATTCTCGCTGGTGGGTTTTGAGACTCTCCGGCCTCTGGTTCATTACACACAATGTCTGGTGAGCAAGCATCCCTGTGTCGCAGGGTGGTGAGCACCTTCAGGTACAACAGCAGGCTTTGTGGCCTCTGGCTTCTGTCCTGGGCCCCACGGGCTTGGCCTGGCTGCCCTCCCCTGTGGCACCCTGTCCTCCGCCCAGAAGAGCAGAGTGCTGGGTCCTGGTCCAGCCTGCAGGCCTCCCTGGCTCCTCACAGGCCCAGGCCTCCCTGGGGTCCACAGGGCGAGTCTATTTCCTGAAAACTCTCGGAGCCCAGATGGCTCCCTGCAGGTAGAGGGAGCTGGTCACACAGGTGGCCGCACCTGAGGGGCAGAAGCTGCCCTCCCGGCTCCCGAGGGCCGGGAGCCTGCAGCCGGGTCCCTGGGAAGGCACAGGGCAGCGGGTGGTGGAATCACAGGAGGGCGCCACCCTCTGCAGAAGACCCATCTCCCTACTTCCCGGTAGCTGTCTTTTCTTTTGCTCCTTACCTATGCTTGGGTTTCTTCTGTAAGAGGAACCATGTGGTCGTTAAGCTCGTGGGTGTGGTTTTGTCACTTAACTCTAGGGTCTCGGTCTCCCGGTTCTTCCGTTCTCCTGGGAATGACTCCAGCTAACCCTTCTTTAGGGCAGAGCAGGCCTCTGTGGGGTGTAAACAACCTCCTCTCCTCACCCACCCATCTGGGGATGGACACACAGGCTGCTTCCAGGGCTCTGCTGCGAGGAGCTGTGCCGCCGTGGACACGGGCCTGCCCGGCCGCTGTGGACATGGTGTCGGAGGCCGTCTGAGAGCGCTGGGTGGCGCTGGGGGATTCCGTGACCCACCGAGACTGTCTCTGTGCTTTGGGACAAGGGCGCCTGCCCCTGAAGTCAGTGGATTGGGGAGAGCGACTGGGGGAGCTGGGCGAGGGCTTGGGGCGCCTCGCGGATGCCAGTCCTGCCGCTCAGACAGAAAAGAGAGAAGAGCGGGGAAGATGCCGGCCCTCCGAGGGCTGCTGAGGGCTGCTCCCCTGGCGCCCTGTGCCTCAGGGAGGCAACCGTGGAGGTGCCAACCAGGTTTCTCAAAGCTGTGCTGTTTTAGAGGGAATCCGGGGGCCGCTGGAGACAGAGGCGTCTCTGAGGACCACAGCCCTGGCCAGGAAGGCAGGAATGGCGTTGTGTTTGGCTTTTGGTGGGAGAGGAAGGGACAGATGTGTGGGTGGGACTGGCCAGGTGCCAAAGGCTTCTTGGGCAATGAAAGCTCATGGTGACTCAGGCCTGCGGCCCGGAGTCCTTACACTCTGAGTCGTCATCAGGGCTCAGGGAGTGCTGCTGGTACAGCCCACGGCCTGCCCTGGGGATGCTCACATCAGCTGCATTCAGGGTGGGGACCTCAACATGTGCCTTGTCCCTGGGCCCAGCAAAGAGGACCCACGAGGTGGCCGTGGCCCCACCCAGCCCTCTTCTAGAACATTCTATGTCCTAGTGACACAGGAAACAATACTGGAGAAGGAATACGAAAGAGTATCTCCCAGCCTGTTAGCTGTATGACACGCCAGGCTTTTGTTTCTAGAAATCAAGGCGCCCTGGGGACAGTGGAGGTTAAGAGTAGGCAGATACTTCTTGGCAGGAAAGCTCCTGAGGGGCAGGAGGAGTCCCCACCTTACCGAGGAGTTTTATGGGGTGAAGCCCACGTGGGTACAATGTGGACCACGCTGTGATCATCCGGTAAGGTTACGAGCACAGTCGCAGAGGAGGTGCTGTCCAGGCGGGAAGCAGGTCACGCACCAAACGTGTATAGAAAGGACAAAGATTGTCCCAGAACGTGGTGGGTCCAGAGGTCTCTGCTCACCACCGGGGTGCTTGACGGCTCTCTAGACTTCATCAGGTCCAGTGTTTGGCCTCGGAGGAAGTGTGCAGGCCCGGTCATCTTGTCTTTATTGGAGGCCTGCTTTCCAGCCGATGCGTCTCCGTGACTGCTGTTGCTTCACCCTGGTTCCGACTCACCTGGCCCAGACCTCTCTGACTGCCTGTGACATTCCCACGACTCCTGTGTGTGTGGCACTAGTGTTGTGCAGGGCCACTTCTCTCTCTGGGGAAAGGTGGGGCTTGTTTTCTTCTCCAGGGATCCTCCAGGGACAGAGCCATGCCGGAGGCCTGCTGAGGGACACGGGTCGGCTGTGTGGCCTACGGGGTGTCCCTGGATCCCACTCAGGGGCTTGGGAAACAATGCAGACAGCACAGTCTGTCCAGGTGCCTCTGAGTCCTCACTGTGGTCCTCCTTCACACGCCCCTTCCTGTCAGCCCCCGTGGTCTAGAACTCAGTCATCAAACCTCCCCATGGTCTCCCGGCTCCTGGTCCTGGTCGGTTGGTCCTGTGTGAGGTGAACGGGCTGGCCGACTCATGTACGCAGGGGTGCCAAGCCTTCTCCGTGATCTGGCGGAGGATGAGGGGTCACCCCGGCGCCAGGGCCCGCATGGGCTGTGTGCGAGACCGCGACCCTTCCATCCTCGCACGCGCGACAGCCTCTGACAAAGGCTGTGGTAGTTTCTGAAGCAGAGGTTGCTGACTGAGAAACTGCACGAAGGTGTGATCCTCTCTGTAGAGGCGCAGGCGTGTGCGCAGGTCCCGTGTCAGACGAAAGGGGTGCTGCCCTAAAGGGCAGGTGAACGCCGCGAAATCACCAAAGTTGAAAGCTTGCTGCTCTCTGCCCTTGTCTAGCTATCACGGTGAGCTTTTCCCTCTTATTTAATGTTCCAAATCAATTAAATTATAAGATGGATGGAAACAAACTCCGTAAATAGGGAAGGGTGGAGGGGGTGAAGGGAGGGCAGGGGAATGGGGAAGAATAAGAACCAAGATCCGTCATGTAAAGGTACAGGATCCAGTGATGACTATAACTGTACTGTGTACCTAAAAAGTACCAATAATCTTAATGGAAAAATAAAGAAAATTAAAGTTAATTTTTTTGCTACGGGGGATTGAACTCGGGATCTTCCACTTGCAAGGCAGGAGGCAGCACCACTGAGCCAAATCCCCTACCCTAAATATAATTTTGTTAGTATGAATTTTATCGTATCACGCCTTTGTATTGTGGATTACGAGTTTTAAACACAAGCATAAGAGCATTTAACGAGTGCAAGGAATCACCACGCATGGTGTGTATTTTCCTCACACATATGCATTTCATTCCCACCAGAACGGTGGAAACGCTGCGCAAAACTAACGCGGCTGTTTCTGTCCTACTTCTTCTTGCGCTCACGTTCCACCGACGTTCCGCTTGGGGCTCGGTGACAACCAGGGAAAGGTAAATTACAAAGAAGCTCCGGTCGGCCCAGCGGCCTCGTCAGCGCTGGCGGCGGTGTGGGAAGGGACAGCTCTCTCCCCATTTGCGGCTCGTCCTGCGGCCGGCAGGCTCGGTTCGCTTGAGCGAGCCCTCCGATGCCGTGGGCACGCTGTGGGCACCGCAGACAGGGGAACGCGCCCTGCCCCCCGCCACGGCTTTCCCACGGGGAGGACCGAAGGGCCTGCCGTCCTGGGCGGGGAAGGCGCTGCCGAGCACCTGTGCGGCCAAGGATCGGCCTGTGTCGTGGTCTCCGGCAGAGCTCGGCAGGCAGGCGCCGGCTTGGAAAGCTGTGGTGATGCTCTGCGGGGCCTCAGCTGTGCAGTGCCACCGACTGGGGCCCCTCAGCTCAGCAGCCGCATCCACAAAGAGCAGCAGTGGCCCGGCCTCCCCTGGAGACAGCGGCAGAGGCAGCGGCAGCAGTGTCCCCTCGGGGTGCACAGCCGCAGGGCCGCGTGTCCAAGGACCTGCGTCTTGCTCCGTTTCACTCACTCGATTGGTCGTGTTTTCATCCTGTGAATGAAATCTGTTTCCACCCTTTCAGCCGGCTCGAGTTTCCTACTGTTGCTTTTCGGCACAGCAAACCAAATCTCGCAGACGCGATGTTAGGAGCGCCGGAGGGAGGCCTGAGACCCAGGGCCGTCTGCAGGCTCCTCCTCCACCTGAAAGCGGGAGGAATCTGCCCGCAGAGTTTGCCTTCTGTCCTCTCGCGTCTGTCTGCAGCGAGGCTGGGTTCCGGATCCCATGCAGTGCTCCAACTGCTCCAAAACGGAAGTCTTTTCCATCCATTCATCACACTTAACTGCCCCTCCAAGCTTAGAAGAGGTCCCGTCCCCTTCCTGCCTTTGTAAAAGGAAAATCCTCAAGTTCCGCCAGAGCCAAGTTATACATCTGTCTGCAGAGCAGAGCGCCAGCCGCAGCTTCTCGGCTGCCTCCTGACAGCTCATCGGCACGCATTTGTGTCCCTAGCTTTGCATTCAGTGTACCCGCCTGTGCCAGCGTGAAGCCCCCTCAGTCTCTCTGCGGCCCGGGTTTGCTTCCGACTCTGACTTTCGGTTAACAGCTGAAACCGGAGGTGATCGGAGGCGGTCCTTGTCCAGAACCTGCGCCCATCTCTGTGTCGTTCTCCACGACTCAGCTACCCGAAGCCACCACAGGAGAGGAGCCGCCGAGTGTGCCCAGAGCCCTCGCTGCTGGCTCCGGTGCTCTTCCTGGGCCCTTCGGTGCCTCTAGGAGCTGAGGACGTGGAAGTGCGACTCCTGCTCTCCACGGAGTTTCCATTCCTGGGGAAGCGGGTGGACAATTCTACACCACGGGAAAGCAGACGAGATGGCTCCCCAGAGCGGCCAGGCCCTGAGGAAGACTCGGCAGGTGCCCGAGACGGAGGGGTCAGGGGGAGCTTCAGGCTGATGAGGACAGGCCCTCTCCACAGAGGCTTTGGGAGGAGCCAGCAAGAGGGCCGGGCTGGAGCAGCGGGGCACTGGAGCCCGGAGCCTGGGGTCTGCAGCCCGGGGTAGCAGGGGTCTCAGCGCACAGGCAAGGCCTGGCAGCTGCCTGAGGCCGTGTGGGGACAGGGCGGTGGGTGTGGGGTGCAGGGAGTGAGGCTGGGTCTCTCCTGCAGGTAGCGGTGACCCCTGGGTGGGGTCAGGGGCAGCCCAGGGCAGTGATGCAGGGGAGTCCTGGGGAGCACAGACCCCACAAGCACTGCTCGGACCTGCACCCTCGACTGGAGGCAGGGTGAGCATCAGCTCTGAGCACCAGGGATGTGAAGGCAGCTGAGGCGCAGTCCTCTCGGTCGAACCAGGGTCGGGGAGGAACAGGTGAGAATCTTACGGCTGTCCTGTTCCGTGTGTCAGCGTTCCCAGAAGCACTGCGGGTTTTCCCCGTGTGGCTGAAGGTCTTTGTTTTCCCACCAGCCAAAGGCGTCTGGGCCGGGAAGGTCGCCAGCAGGAACCGTTGCGCCAGATGAACAGTGCTGTCTTTCTACATGGCTAGGCTTCTCCGTGACAGGACCCTTTATTTCAGCTTTGGCACTCAGCAGGACTGCACCAGAAGTAAAAACCAGCAGCATTTCCAGTCCAGGGTCCGTATTGCGGTGTCGCGTCCACGTCACTAACAGCCCAGAGTCCCCATTTACACCCTGACCACGAGCCTCGCGGTGTCTGAAACTGCACTCGCCCAGTATGAACAATTCCAGGTTTCCCAGTAAGTGAAGTCCCCGAGGGCTCAGAGGGAAGTTGAATGCAAAATGGAAATTCGTATTTTCTAGGCTGAAAGAAAATGATGGTCTCACGGACCCGGGCTCACACAGGCTCTGGTTCCCTGGTCCTGCGTGGTGGCCTGGCCCGGACCTCCCGCCGCACGTGCCCAGCCACCAAGGCGCTGGTGCCGCAGCTCCTGAAACACTGCACCCAGGACCTGCACGCGGCCCGGTGCGAGGCCAGTACGGACACAACAGGTGTGGAGCCTGACCCGCTCCTCACATCCAGGCGAAGAATGAAGCGCTGTGGTCTTGAACTCTGTTCTCACTGCTCTCTGACAGCTTCTCTTTCTTCAGCCCTGCCGGTGAGCCGCAGGCGGAGAGCACCAGCTGCCCAGTGCCAGGGCCTGCACCCTTGCAGTGTCAAGGACCGGCCCTCCGCTCCCTCATCACCCACACAGAGTCATCGAATGTTTTTCTTGTGCTCTGTCAAGGGGAAAGAGACATTTTTTAAAAAGCAGAATGTAGATGAGTAAAGCAGAGACTGGAGGAGTATCTGGTTGTTTGTTACAGGGCGCATGACGCATGGACCTCCAAATAATGTAAGGGGACCATTGAAACTCCCAGCCCGCTAGGTCGGACGCGGAGTTCCTGTTCCCTAAAATCGAAGTATGAATTCTAGGAACCACAGAGGTTAAGAGTAGGAAGAATTTATTGCAAGAAAGGCAGCTTCTGTCTGGGAGGAATGGAAGGGGGCCCAGAAAGTGGGTGCCAGGGATCCCGCCTGCCAGAGGAGTATTTGGGGCTGGAACGGAGCTACAGGCAGCTGTGAGATTACGAGCGGAGTCGCTCAGGCAACACTGATGGGATCAAATGGGGAGCCAGGCGTGGAGCAGCGTGCGGGGATTGAACAAGGCCCTTTCCTGGAAGGGTGGGTAAGGTCTGCCCCGCCGGTGACCGAGGCCTGTTTAGGGTGTCACTCACTGCTCTTCACCCCTGGGGGCAGCGTGGGGTGTACCAGTCCTCTCCGTCTGGAAGCCCGGCTTTTAACGAATGCACCTCCAGCCACAGCAGTCTTGTGCACTGACTTCTGGGAGGCCCAGCCACCCGCAGTGTCTCTGTAACTGAGCTGTCTGCACTACGTGCCTCAGAAGAGGTGCCCCTAACCGTGCTTAGGGGAGGAGGGCGTGGCTTCCATTCACTGCCTCAAGCCCAGAGGTTGGAGCGGCAGAGGCCGCAGTCAGGGGCCTCCAGAGAGCTCATCTGATGGGCCTTAGACAGACGTCACGGTGCAGCTCAGCAGTCGTGAGCTCTTCACGAGGCTGATCAGTGGATCCCGGTAAAAGGAGCCCGGCACATTTGTCCTTGGTTTTATCACTTGGAGCCTCGCAGCCCCTAGGCAGGAATAAACAGAGGTCGGAAGGGTTAGAGCATCATGGTCAGAGCACGAGCACGGGAATGGACGGGCAGGCTGGGGAAAGAGTCACAGCCAGAAACTGCTCTCAGGGCCCTGGAAAGCGCTGCTGATGGAGGTGATGCGTAAGTGTGGTATTTCTGGTCAAAAGTCCCTTAGTTTGAGCTGTAACAAGGAGAGTTTGGTGGTTATGAAGGACAGTTGTAGATAAAGAACTTAAAGACTCTTGTTGAGCTTTTATGGCTTTTATCCTAGTTTTTATGAACCACAACCAGTGTAACTGGAAACTGCCGGAAGGGGTCAGTGACTGGAGTCCCTTTTTATATCTAGCTTTATTACTTTTTTTTCTTTCTGTAACTGGGACTGAACTCAGGACTTTGTACTTGCAAGGTAGGTGCAGTGCCACTGAGCTGACGCCCCGGCCCTAGATGGTATTGTTTTTATAGCTCTTTTGGATATACTTTTCTGCTGGGTGTTTAAGACCAAGTTAAAATGAGACCCGTGTTGATCAAAATTAACCTCTTGCTGTCTATGGAGTGTAGTTAAGTCTCCTCAGGCGTTACTTTGGAACCATGCATGGATCCTCTCCTGTCCTCTGTCGGTATCAGCCGTCAGGATGGGTCACGGCCTTGCATGACCACGTTGCTTTCTGAAAAAGCATGGGGGACTTTTTCCCCTTGGGGACCCTCCTATGCACCCTGCACATTTGTTGATTTTTGTCCACTGGGGTCCAGCACTCTCCCTGCTCAGGAGGTTGGGTGACTCACCGAAGTTGTAGGATTTTGTAGAAAAGGTTCCTTCGTGCCCTGGGTCCTTCTTGATCTTGGAGGGCCAGGCCCAAAACAGTGGCTGTCCTCTTAGCCCAGTTACCTTTTTAGGTCTAGTGTCCAAACTTTAGTTGTTGAACACCCAGAAAAGAAGATCAGTGACATTATAGGCTGGTGATTTAGCTCAGTGGCCCTGTACCTGCCTCATAAGTGAAAGCTCCCAAGTTCAATCCCCGGTACCAAAAAAAAAAAAAAAAAAAAAAAAAAAAATCAGTGAATTTAAATATTGTAAGTTTATCTGGATATCAAGCACTTTGAAATACAAAGTATAGCCAGAGGACCCTCATTTTTACCAATTGTGGCTGTTTCAGTAGGTTATTCCTGCAGAATGTTGACAGACAGTTATGAAGCTTTATAGAGAGGACTTGAGACCAAGAGCCATATGCAGCCTGTCCGCACAGGGTCATGGCACTGCCTCTGGAACACGCTCCAGGGTCTGTGCTGACGCCGAACAGCCTTTTCAGACAATTGTCTCCGTCTAGTGCCCAAAGAGGCTCTCGCTACGTTGAAGGGGTGACATCAAAGCAGTGTGGGCTGCTCAGTGCCCGAGGGCCCTAAGTGCAGAGGGGGGGGATATACACATTGCATAAGTTAAAAAGAAGAAAGTATGATTTGACTGGGGACCTCATGTTGCCTGGATGTGGACCTCTTATCACAAGTAGCTGCAGCACAAGAGAAAGGCAGATACCTGAGTCCTAAAAAAGTCATCACCATAAATGATCCTGGTTTTATATCTTAGAAGACCTGTATACCTGGAAGGCATGAATACATTTAGTATACCATGAAATGGTATCTAATAATAATGAGTATCACAGCTATATGAAACCCTTTATCCTTTAACTTAGTTTTGTACCAAGGGCATATTTTAATAAGAAAACTTCATTGTTTCACCCACGAAAAACTTAACCATGCCAGCTGTGGCGGCATGTGCCTGCAATCCTAGCATTTGAGAGGCTGAGGCAGGGGACCGCTGTGAGTCTGAGGCCAGCCTAGGCTATACAGTGAGTTCAAGGCCAGCCTGAACTACATAGCAAGACCCTGTCACACAAAAAAACTTAACTTTTTGAAGATATTCGATGTAAACATATCACAGTAATACTTTCAGCAATGTCTATTGGGGTGTCTCTCTCATGAGGCTATGGAAATTGTGGCCCTATCAGTGCACAAAGGCTAGAAAAAAATATTTTCAGGCAGCTGCTCATTTATTCACCAAAGGGAGTCCTGTCCAGCAGTTTCCTTAAGCTGAAGAAATTCCCATTTAATTATCTTAACAAATTTTCAGATGACCTATGAGAACCAGATTATAATAACACATTATTCTTTTTTTTTTTTTTTTTTTTTTTTTTTTTGTGCTGTGGATCGAACTCAGGACCTTGTGATTGCAAGGCAGGCGGCAGCACCACTGAGCTAAATCCCCAGCCCCTAACACATTATTCTTGACCATTGAAAGACTCCCAAGTTATTGCATACAGACAACTACGCATTGCATTTGTAAAATTAGTCTTGACCTAATTTTGATCAGCTGGCAACCTGGGTGGAAACATGTCTTTAATGACATTTATGTATGGGCCAATTTAAGCCACAAATAACTTGAAGTCTAAAAAGGCAAAAAGAATGAAAAAAATTGTGGAACGCAAACAAAACAACTGTATGTATTATACCCAGTTACAGGTTGAACAGACAGATGGACGACACACATAAGATAATTTGTTTATAAAACTAGAGTGCACTCAGATGTATTTGGCCAAGTCAGGTTATACTAACTCTTATAGTTTTCACGTTTGTAACTATAAATATGACTAGCCAGAACTTTTTGTAGGTCAATTAACAGAGATCTCTCGTAATAAGAATCAGGAGGAATAAAAACCACTTACACCTGTGAAAGAAAAGACAGTTTTTAAGATGGGCCCTAGGCTGATGGTTTATCTGATTAGAATATCTATCTATACAGTCTTCTCATTATTGCTTTGATAGCAATAGTTATTGGATAGTCACAGCTGGTAGCTAAAAGGGCTGTTTTTCTGTTTTGTTTTTGGAAGTAGGGATCGAACTCAGGACCTTGTGCTTGCAAGGCAGGCATGGTGCCACTGAGCTAAATCCCTGGCTAAAACTGTTTTGATAACTGCATGTAACCGTTTCCTCTAGCGGGGCAGACTGTTAAAAGGTAATTTTAACTATTTCCAAGGGTGAGTGCGTAGGCCAGGTTTTGGAGTAGAAAGTGACTAGGTGGCTCTCTTTGGAGCTGAGTGTGTGTTCTAAACAGTGGGAGAAGGCCTGCCAAGGCTGCGACTCCCCGCTGCAGACGTCTGCCTATGACAGCTCTTTCCCACTTTGCCTGTGACCCTTGGACCGTCCTTGGCTGTAGGCTGTTCTTTCTCAGAGCCTCAGTCAGCATATCTCTGGGGATAGTGGCCAGTCTGGCAAGATGTTCTGGAGAGAAATCACGGTGAGAGGCAGTCCTCTGGGGGGGGGCTGTGCCTATTCTTCAACACTTGTTTTTGTTTAAAAGTGTTATTTAACTCATAAAGTCCCCTAGTAATGTTTCGTTCTATCGATGAACTTATCTGTTATAAAATTATTAATCTCCCTGTATTGTAAAAACCAGTCAAGGGCTGGGGGTTCTGCCGCCTGCCTTGCAAGCCCAAGGACCAGAGTTCAATCCCAGGTACAAAAAAAAAAACAACAAAAAACACCAGTCAACATCACTCTTGACGGGAGGAGGAAGTAAGAGGAGTTAATCTCCCGTTGTGCCTATGGGTTGAAAGGCAGATAAACTCAGACTAAAACTTTCACGTTTATTCTTTGAGAGTTTCAGGATTAAACCTAGACCAGTTTTTAAATATGGTCCAGAGGTAAGCGAAGGTTTACTTCACTGTGGAAGGGCCCCAGTGGGGGAGAACTCACCATTCTGGAAACTTGGTCCTGAAATCCAGCAGCCACAGAGGAGAGGACTTCCTTGGACCAAACACTGTTGCAAACTGCTCTTTCTCAGGCGAGGGGCAGTGGAGCAGGGTCAGGAGAGTGACTCTAAGCATGGCCCAGGAACTAAACCCTAACCATCTCAGGTGCTGAAAGACAGCTGAGGTAAAGCACTTCTCTCCCCAGAGTGGATCTCTCATCTTTAGCAAACACACCTCGAGGCGGAACTGAACCAATAATCAGAGAACCTGAATGGCCGCTTTTTCCTCTTGAAAGAGAGAGACAAAATGAAAGTGTTCTAACTATATTTAGAGCTTACTTTTTAATAAATGACTCTGAATCAAACAGTTCTAAAATCCCAGCCTACAAAAGAGATCTATCGCCAGGCGTGGTGGCGTACACCTCTAATCCCAGCACTCAGGAGGCTGACGCAGGAGGATCGCTGTGAGTTGGAGACCATTCTGGACTACATAGTGAGTTCCAGGTCAGTCTCAACTACATAGTGAGACCCTCTCTCAAAAAACACAAAACAAAACAAAACAAAAGGGCTGGGGATTTAGCTCAGTGGTTCCAGTGCCTGCTTCACAAGCGCAAGGACCCGAGTTCAATCCCTGATACCCACCCCCCAAAATCTATCACCCAGGGGCAGACAGAAAGAGGTACTAGTCCAGAAGAAATCCCAGCCCTAAATCAGAGTGCTCTGCAGGACAGTTTGGCTCCCCGTCTGGACACCTAGGCAACTTCTCTCCTTAGCAGTGCTGCTAGGCTCTATTTAAATACAGTCTGCAAGCACGTATGCCTGGGCATCTGCAGTACACTTGACAAGCTTTCAGATTAAAGTCTGTGCCCAGTGCCTCTCATTAGAAGTCGGTGTTTGATTTAAGGGTAACATCATGTTTTCCAGCCTGGTTCATAGGTCTGGGAGAGCCCTCCAGTGATCTCAGTGTGCTTATCAGGGTATCTGAAAACTTAGATCTTGTTTGATCTGTTTTAGGTCACTGAGAGAAAAGGAGCCGTGAGTGCAGATAGTCCTGTATTTGCAGCCTACTTCCTCTGAGGGGTACTGTCTTTGAGGGGCGTGAACAAAGTTAGCTGCGGTTGGATATAGCGCCCAGCCTTCAGCATGAGCAGCCTTGGAGCATCACCCTCAGGACCGAAGGGCAAGTAGGGGGAGTCTTGGGCTCGGTAATAGTGGGGGAGGCTTTGTTAAAGTTGCTTGGAGACCTCTCCATGGGTCCCAAAGGGCGAGGAAGAGTAGCCTGCAGCTCAGTGATAGTAGATGCCTGAAGGACCGGAGGTGTCTGGTTTTCTTGTGGCTCACGCTTACATTTTGAACACAGGTAAGGATTATTTTGTAATGCAAAGGAAGTCTGAACATAAGGTAGTTCTGATCGTTTTCCCTCTTTCTTTTTCTTTTTCTTTCTTTTGTTTTTTGAGACAGGGTCTCACGATGTAGTTGAGACTGACTTGGAACTCACTATGTAGCCCAGGCTGGTCTCGAATGCTCAGCGATCCTCCTGCCTCAGCCTCCCGAGTGCTGGGATTACAGGCGTGCGCCACTATGCCTAGCTATTTTCCCTCTTTCTTACAGTGTGAGTCTAGTTGTAAAACAGTATCAATCAATACTTCCCTCTGCATTCCATTTTGCCTCTAGGTGGTAGGTAGGCCCTGTGTGTGGGCACAGGAAAAAATTAAACTGCTCTTTCTCAGTATGTGAGGGTCGATCTTTTCCAGTGTTTTAAAATGCATTCCAGAGGAGTGAGAGATGCTGATATTGAGTTCCCCATGTGAAACAAGAGAAAGAAATCGGCATCCCTTCTAATTTCTTCTTGAGTCCTATGTCCTCAAGGCATCCCTGAAGTGACCAGCTCCAGAGCATGTGGCTGCCATCTGGAGAGAAACAAGAAGGCAGGTCAGGGTCAGACTAGCCACTATTATCAGCTCAAGACCCCATCTTCCCTGCAAACTCAAATTATGAACTCCAGGAGACATTTTAAAAGCAAAAATTACAGTTGTTTTTTTTTTTTTTTTTTTTTTGCAAAACATTTATTGGTACATTTTAGATATACATAATGATAAAATTCATGAAAATCTGTACCAGAACATGATATATCTTGCTTCTTTTTTCCACATTCCTCCTTCCCTATGTACGAAAAGCTTTGTTTCCATTTTTCCTTCAATTTTCTTCTGTTTTCTTGTCCCTTCCTTTCCCTCTCCCTTGTGCCCCTTCTCATTTGAAAGCACATTACACTTGAGCTCAGTTGCAACAGTCATGTTTAAAGTAGGAAGCACTGCTAGTAAAACTAATAATCAAGAGATCTAAATCATTGTTTTCTAATTCTTTGAGAGTGAGAAAATATGGAAGACCAAGTTGGAAATAGTTGGAATGCCTCTCAGCCTCTAAAAGAGATCACCTCTAGAGACAGTCAGGTAAAATGGGCTTGGAGAAATCTTGTCCTGGGCCCTAGGGTGGAGAAGCCTCTGACATACTTCTGTTATCTACCTAATCTCCTAGGCAACCTTCCTCAGCGACAAGACAAGGCTATACTTTAAGGCCTTATCTAAACTTTCTGTCTCTGAAGCTCACAGGTTAAACTATACTCCCGCCTAGCCACCACAATTCACATTAGTAAAGGCACATTTATCAGTTTTCTATGCACATATAAAAGAAAAGAAAGGCTGACTAAAATCCCTTTTTATTCTAATTAGCAGATACAAGGCACATGTGTAAGTCACTAGCTGATTGCTATTCTCCTCCACAAAAGGCAAACAGTTGTTTCAAACTGCCTTAGCCTGACTTCTTAGAGGGAGGAGCAGTCTAACTGCAGAGTGCAGTGGACCCTTGATTTACAAACTCAGCTGGTTCCCAAGGGGTGGTTGTAACTAAGTCAATACAGCTGAGATCTAGATGTTTCCCTGGGTACA